GGTAGGTCAGACCTGGGCCAGGTTCACCTCGGCCCTCATACTTAGCATTCCTCGGCGTTGGTGGCGGCCATCTCGGCTATCCGAGCTGGGCATGACTCATGAGCCATCTTGGAGCACCAATAGGGGTCCTCCACGTGTCCAGGTTATTCCCTTCCCCAAACAAAGTCCTTTAATGTTTTGAACAATTCAAATTCCTTCCAACAATTAATATCCTTAATTACCCTTTACGAGCTAGCAAGGGGACCTAATGTACCTATAAATTAGAAGCTCCAACGTTACGAGATTAATTGGTTAAACTCATTAACCAACTTAATCAACATACGTTAACTACGAGTTACTCCATTAAAAAGCCGTAGCTGAACTCTTCTCAGTATAGAATATTTCTGTGTCCAAGGATATCGACCATTAACAGCAAGTTAATCCTTCATGAGTGTTCATAACCACAAATGGGTCAAATTACCGTTTTACCCCTGTGTTAGATCTTGTACCTTAAGTACCGTTGATCCTCTAATGAACAACCCGATTATGGTCCAACCAATAACCGGAAGTCCTTCTCGGGCCAGTGAGAGGGTGGGGCCCATTGTTCAAGTCCCGGAGTCAGAACTAAAGGGAACACTCATCTACTCCCCTAAAGTCGGGGAGAGTGAATTTTATCTTGTGTAGTTATGTTTCTAGCTCCCTACTTGGTCTCACCTCCAAAATGGTGGGAATGTTGAGTCGGCGACTCAGGGCACTCTCACCCCATACAGATCAAGAACGAGCCCTTACGGGCAGGAATCCATAACTCGCTCAAGATTGAGAATGAGTTGTCTGGTCATCCTATGAAATAGCAATCTGTTAATCAACGGCGTTACATCTAAAGATTGACTATCTCCTAGTCCGGTCTAGTACAAACTAATTGTATAGGATACCCCCACCTGCATGTCTCCACACGAATGACCTGGATCGGGTCGCCTGTAACATTTACAAAGTGGGCTGTATCCATAGTATTGTCAGGATAAGGCTCAGTTTTATCCACATACTATAAACCCTTTAGGTTATTATCGGGACATTATCTAGTTGTATATCGAGGGTATATCAAATATATACCCAGTATATATACTATCCCGGTTACATGGCAACTACCTTAGATGTTTAGTTTATTGGATTTAGACAATGTATTGCTATGAATTTAACAACAAATTGATTGAATAAAACTTTATTGAATATAAATTTGTTTTTACATGTAACGCCACCAAATTTCAAACACTCAAATGGGGCACGTTACTAAAACCTTCTATTCAGCTCAACATTAACAAAATAAAATAACTACATTTTGCTCAACATTTTCATAAAAGAAACTTTTATCAACTCTAAAAGTTCCAATACCCCATGCAAAATAACTAAACATATCTAGAATTCTCAAAAGAATAACAAACTGATATCTCAAAACATCCTTTAAACATAAAACTTAAACAAATCAACCTGCTAAAAAGAAACAACTCCAACTATCCTATTTGGAATAAAATAACGCAGCATTATATGGTCCTTCTAGTCAAGTCTTCTCCTTGCCATCACCATTCCTGTGAGGGACCTTGTACCTACAAAATTTTGGGGGAAAAGGGAGGGAGTGAGTACAAAGACTAGTACTCAGTAAGCAGCCCTTACCTGAAGAGTCACACACAAACAGAATGCTTACACATCAACAAAATGTCATGCTTTAAATAAATAAATAAATAAAATATTTTTTACATAAGCTTGACTAAACATGCATTTCTACATGCCCAAAACCCAATCCTCATATCACGACTCACTCATTCTCTCTCATATTCCTCTAAGACTTACTCTTTCAAGTCCCACCGACCCTTGGCCATCTATTCAGAGCCTCAACACTTCTCTACGACATTTGGCGTTCGATCCTTGACCTTTGGATCTAAGGCCTCGAACTGTTGCATCGACCCTTGACCATCTATTTAAGGCCTCGATGACTTTGCAACATATTGGTCCTTGTCCTTTCCCCTCAAGGCCCTAATACTTACCTTCTCTCTAAGATTCATCGCATCGACCCCCGACCATTTATTCGAAGCTTCGACACTCATCTTTGTCCAGAGTTGACATATCGATCCTCGACCTTTGTACTCGGAGCCTTGATACCCAACCAGTGAGGTATCAACCATCTGGCCCTGATACTCATCCATTCACTTCATAACCGAACCAAACTCTCACCAAAGTTATCCAAAATTATTCCAGTATGCTTTCATAACTACAATTAAGCATTGAATCCAACAACACAAAACTAATCAATCATGTCCAATCAGAACCAACATGATTTCATCCAAAATACTCATAATCACTAACATTCACAAAGAGATAACCAACATACATATTGTTGGATAATAGGACACACAGAACACACCCAAACAATTCATGCATATTCAAACAACAAGCATCCCCACAAGTAAGAACTACTTACAAACGAATGTCCTAAAGCTCCTAAACTTGTCAAAGTGTTCCTACTAACTCACACTAAAACAAGTTGGGTTAGGAATGGGTAGACGCTGAGGAGGTTTGAGCTCCCAAATTCGAGTTCGAATGGCCTTAGGCTTGCTGTTCCCATGTCAAAAACGATGGGTATGCCGGTTTGGGTCCCATTAAGGGTGAGTCAATGCCAAACCAAAGCCAAAAAGGGTGGGTATCATGAATCAAGCTTCGTATAGGAGTAGGTAAGCGTCAAAACTTGCCGAAATCCTATTGAAGTGCTGATGGCCATAGGCTGCTGTAGAACTCGTCGGAAAACAAACCGAAGTCAGGGTTTGCTGCGTGCCGCTGCTGCTATCCAACACACTGTCGCAGC